CATCACCGCCGTCACCACCATCACAAAGTCCCCACCAAAATCATAACTTCCCACCACCATCACAATTTCCTTACCACCACCAAAACTTCACCAGAGTCATAACTTCACCACCACCGACATCAACACCGTCAAAACATCACTACCAGAACTTCACCACCACAAAATTGTCACCACCATCACTGCCTTTCCACTGCCATCAGAATTTCCCCACTACCACAAAAACTTCACCACCAAAACGTCACCACAAAAACGTCACCACAAAAACTTCACCACCAAAACGTCACCACAAAAACGTCACCACCAAAACTTCACCAGCAAAACGCCATCATTCACAACTTCACTAAAAAAAAAAAAAAAAAAAAAAACACCACAAAACTTCACCACAAAAACGTCACAGCAAAAACTTCACTTACTCGGTATGACCAGGAGGATTCTCAATGCTCTCTGAAACACGGGCCAGCATCGAGCAAACTTCATCTGGGAAATAAGGAATTTGCCATCCGCACGTGTTTTCCATGAAGTTGCAGTCTCCCCAAGAGCGCGAGGACAACGAAGGCTGTCCTGTGAATGAGAGAAAGAGAAAGAGGAAAGAGAGGGAGAAAGAAAGAAATGGGTTATTGACTTTTGAGGTTCACTTGTGTATGAAAGTATCTACTTAGTGTGTGTGTGTGTGTGTGTGTTGTATACATATTACACACACACACACACACACACACACACACACACACACACATATATATATATATATATATATATATATATATATATATATTATATATATACACACACACACACACATACACATACACACACGTATATACATATATATATACATATATACACTAACTGGTGAAGTATCAATTTATTTGACCGTGGATCCTCCTGCCGCTCCATCAAAAACTCCGTGGAAAACTCAGCTTTATATATTCATCAATATTCGTCAGAAACTTTTTGTAAAAACTTGGTAACAATATGTATATACATGTATATAAGTATATATACATATATATAAATATATATATGCATATATATAAATATATATACATATATATAAATATATACATACATATATATATAAATATATACATATATATATATATATATATATATATATATATATATATGTATATATACACACAACACATATGTATTTACATTCTAATTTAAGATTTAAAAAAATTCTCTATATATCACATTGTAAGATTCCCAAACGCAAACGCAAGCCCGCCAACTCACGCGGACAGGGCCCCGGCGAATACGTGATGGTGTCGAGAGCGATGTCCCCCGCGCCCTGGGATCCGATTGAAGCTTCGAAAATCAAGTTGAAATTTTCCGCCGAGGAGACCGTCACCTGGCAGGGGTACCAACTGAAGCGCGGAAGGGAGGAAGGGAAGAATGGGAAGAGCATCGATTATTTGTGGATTGCGTATTATTTTAACCCAATGGTGCCGAGGAGAATGAACAAAAAATGGAGAAAATGATGTGCCCACTTTCTGTTTTTTCGTGAAATGTCTGCTGATAGATGGCTCTGCTAGCGCCTGATTTGAAATGGTGGGAAAACGTATTTCTTACTAGTGCTATGAAAATCGATGGTGTTATTTTTATCCTAAACATTATAATTTTTATAATGTTTTTTTAACATTAGTAACAGCAAAATAAGATAACGTAAAATATTTTGTAAATCAAAGAAACGGGTAAACGGGCGAGACGGGCGGTGCTCGTAACTGGCTCATTGGGGAGTTAGTACAAGTGTTGCCATCTATGCGTAAAAACAATCAAACAAGTACTCACGGTGGGCATAGCACGTACGTACACGTCATACCCGGCACCAATGGGTTAAGCATCTGCTGCGGCGTGCGATATATTTCAATATATATTGATATATTGATTTTTATCAATATATTGAGATATATTGATTTTTTTTTTAAATATGTCTAAAATCATGGATCAAAAAGGATTACCAACTGCAAGAAGGGAGGAGAATATAGAAAATATTACTGTTTTGCGTTAATTACAATTATTCCAAGGCAGTAAGAAGGAAAAGACTACAAAAAGGGAGAAATCTATGGCAAAAACGGATACTAAAATAAGAGTGGAGATTACAGAGTGAATAAGTAAATAAAAAGATATCAGTTCGAAAATGGGACAAAAAAGATAAAAAAAAATAATAATAATAAATAAAAAAAATAGGGATAACAAATTAAATTCAAAAGGCGTGTTCGACATTTTGTGTCTTGATCGTGGTGCATAAAATATGACTCCACATTAAGAGGAAAGACACAAAAATGAAATTTAAAAAAGGAATAAAATACGTAATAAGTTATATCCGTGTTTTGAAAGAGACTTGAACAAGTTTGGATATTAACTTACTAGTCAGGACCGAGTGATGAACCTTCTTGCTTCCAAAGTTCCCGGATGTTGTCTGCGTTCGTCGTTGGAACATACAAGACCCTTTAAAAAAAATTGGCGGGAAAATGATGATCAGTAACAGCTTTCTTGC